CGCTTCCACCGTTCTTCTGGCCCACTGTGCGCCGCGACCACACCCACGCCTTCCTTCGTGTCCAGCCCGCCCCACATCAACGTGTGCTGTAGTTACGGCCCCAAAGGGCCATTCGTGAACGTTTCCGACGAAGGGTCGGGTAAAATTGTGGGCCTCCATCACGAAGAGACTCGTGCCGGACCGTCGGGACCCGACCCTTCGCAGCCCGTTTAGGGTCACGTGACATCTTCGGAACGGCGGTAAGCGACGCCGACAGAGACACCTTGGGTACCAGTGTGGCCACGGCAAAAAATCCCTCGGCATAGCTCCGGTGACGAAAGGGTTGCCAACTTCAGCCTGCACTAGGTTCAAGGTCCAAGATAGGGTTTCCGCACCTATGGCCCACTGTGCGACACACGCACGCACTGCCACCGCTACACTGCTACAGTGTGTTCGCCTCGGTCCACGCAACACTGCAACGGCACAGCGCTAGTTGCTTCAGCCTCGCAAGCCGGTGCTGATGAGGGAGGGCAAGGAAAGGAAGCTACTCACAAAAATGCCGCCTTGTCCACACGCACTTCGTACAGTGGGCCAGAAGGCCGGTGCAGGCGGCCGATACTTCAGACGCATTTTGACGTCCAAAGTCGCTAAATGGGACTCGAACCGAACGTGTGACCCCACCAATGGATTTCTCGTTCGGAGAGGAATCCATTGGTGGGGTCACACGTTCGGTTCGAGTCCCATTTAGCGACTTTGGACGTCAAAATGCGTCTGAAGTATCGGCCGCCTGCACCGGCCTTCTGGCCCACTGTGAAACGCCGGGAAACTGTCGGCCCGCGGCCTGCAGCCATTTTCAGCCATTTCCCGATTCTTGTCCAACAATGCGAGCGATGCGAGCCCGGCCACGACTTTCCCCTCCCCTTGGCCCAGGGTGCGCAGTGTGCGCAGGCCGCAGGGTCCCCGCTGTAAATAGAAGACGCAAAAGGTGGGCCAGGTCACGTAGTGCACGTAGTGTTGCCTCGTCGCTCCGTCTCTCTCGCACTCGCGGGGCGTCCCGCATGTTCCGCGGGGGTGCGAGAGAGACGGAGCGACGAAAGCGCCGTTTCGGCCATGTCCTGCAAAAGGCGCCAAAGGCCGCCGCCGAAATTCGGCGAGTTTATTGCTTGGCAGTGGGCGGTGCAGGCGGTGCACTGGAAGTAGCCTGTGCAGCACAGTGGGCCAGAAGACCGGCGCCGCGGCCAAAACTATAGACGCGTTTTGAGCTTTAGAGTCGCTAAATAGGACTCGAACCACACGTGTGACCCCACCAATGGATTCCTCGTTCGGAGGGCTATCCATTGGTGGGGTCACACGTTCGGTTCGAGTCCCATTTAGCGACTCTGGAGCTCTAAAACACGTCCGGGATTTTGACCGCCTCCACCGGTCTTCTGGCCCACTGTGCGCAGCCTGGCTCCTCGACCGCGTCGCTGCTCAGACGATCTTGATCTGACGGCGCCCGAGCGGCCCGCCAGCCCCGCCAGTGCAGCAGCACGGCGTTGGCGGCGTTGGCGTAGCGAAGCGCCAGGCGCCAACGAGCCCGCCAGGCCACGCCAGGCCCGCCCTGCCCGCCCGGAGCCGCCAGGGCCGCCGCCAAGCCGCCCCGCCACTGGGAGTGCCGCGCCCGCCCCGCCCGCCACCGTCACCACAACAACAAGGCAATCATGCAGACGGCGTCGTCCCCCTCGTCGCCCTCGTCGCCGCCGAGCCCACGGCCTCCGGGCCACGGTCAGGCAAGCCCTTGCCGCCCTCGGCGCCGGCAGGGAAGCCCACTGTAGCGCCGCAGCGCCGTTCCAAACCTGGAGCCTGGAACCGACGCACAGTGGGCCAGAAGACCGGTGGAGGCGGTCAAAATTCTTGACGCGTTTTGAGCTCGAGGGTCGCTATATGGGACTCGACCCGACCGTGTGACCCCACCAATGGATTGCTCTCCGAGCGAGGAATCCATCGGTGGGGTCACAGGCTCGGTTCGAGTACAATTTGGTGACTCTGGAGCTCAAAACGCGTCCGGGATTTCGGCCGCCGCAGCCGGGCTTCTGGCCCACTGTTTGTTCCAAGTACCATTTCGCGGTGTACTTGCCGTCGTTCGATGACGTCCGCGTTATGACGGCGTGCCCCAGACCGCCGGGCCTGGCGGGGCACGGCCGGGCGCGGACAAGGATTGGCACACATCCGGCGACGTGCGGCAAGGCGTAGAGTCCTCGAGGGGAATCCGCGGACACGCCGGGGACACGCCCCGTCCGACAGGCCGACGGGCACTCGATGGCGGTCTTGGTGACGTCCGACAGGCCGACGGGCACTCGATGGCGGTCTTGGTGACGTCCAGGACGGCGGCGCAGCGCGCGCTGCCAGAGAGTCCACTCTACAAACAGTGTGCCTCGAACCGAGCATGTGACCCCACCAATGGATTCCTCGTTCGGAGAGCAATCCATTGGTGGGGTCACACGTCCGGTTCGAGTCCCATTTAGCGACCCTGGAGCTCAAAACGCGTCCGGGGTTTTGACCGCCGCCAGGGCGTTGGCGGCCACGAGGTAGCCGCTGCATGTCTGGCCGCGGGGGAGGCGGGGCTCCCGGCCGCCAACAGGTGCGCGATGACGCCCAGTGCCGGTGCTGCCGGTGCTCATGACGACGGAAACCGACTCCAACCTGTCCGACGTGACTGGTACACTCACCACCCGGGGCTACAACCTCATCCGCAAGCTCGGCGAAGGCACCTATGCCAAGGTACAACAATAAGGGCAAAATTAAGAACAACTTTCATTTTTAAAATTCGTCAGTTTTTTTTTTTTAAAGAGGGCGCTGTGCGAGGTCGGAGTGTCTTGCTGACTCGAACCGCTAAAGGTCTGTACAGGCCTAACAGCGTTGATGATGATGATGTTTAATTCCAGGTGTACATGGCCTCGTACACGCCGAACAATGACCCAGCGCGGAAGACGTTTCTCGCCTGCAAGGTGGTGGACACCACCAGGGCCCCCAGGGACTTCGTCCGGAAGTTCCTGCCGCGCGAGCTGGACATCCTCAAGAGGTTGAACCACCCCCACATCGTCCACGTGCACTCCATCTTCCAACGGAGAAACAAGTGAGGCTGCCTGCTTTCTTTTATGCTTCTTCCCCTTTTTTGCATGTTTTGTTTGTTGCAGATCGGTGCAGGCGGCCAAATATCTAGACGCTCCAGAGTCGCTAAACAGGACTCGAACCGAACGTGTGACCCCACCAATGGATTCCTCGTTCGGAGAGCAATCAATCCATTGGTGGGGTCGCTCGTTCGGTGCGAGTCCTGCTTAGCGACTCTGGAGCTCAAAACGCGTCTAGAGTTTTGGCCGCCTCCACCGGTTTTCAGGCTTACTGTGCGACGGCTACAGTAGAGATAAAAAAAGTTATGCCATAGGGATGACTAAAACTCAAAATTCACAACATTTTAAAAAAATTTAACCGCTTACGAGATAGATAGACATCCAAAATGTCAATAAATGTGAAGCTCGCTGCTCAGGTACTTCATTTTCATGCGGCTGGCCGAGAAGGGCGACCTGCTGGAGTGGGTGGTGAGCCACGGCGCCGTGACCGAGGCCCAGAGCAGGGTGTGGCTGCGGCAGCTGTCCCTCGCCCTGCAGTACCTGCAGACGCTGGAGATCGCGCACCGGGACCTCAAGTGCGAGAACGTGCTCATCACGGCCAACTACAACGTCAAGCTGGCCGACTTCGGGTTCGCGCGCTACTGCGTGGACGCGCGCGGCCGGCGCGTCATGAGCAACACTAACTGCGGCTCGCTGTCGTACGCCGCCCCGGAGATCCTGCGCGGCGACAACTACGACCCCCGCATCTCGGACGTGTGGTCGCTGGGCGTCGTGCTGTACATCATGCTCAACAAGGCCATGCCCTTCGACGACGAGAACATCAACCGCCTGCACGACGAGCAGATCAACCGGCGGTGGCGGTTCTGCGCCAGCGTGGTGGAGAACCTCAGCGACCAGGTGCCGTATGGACAGAACAGATTGCATGGCATGGCACCCTCCACTTCAACGACCAGTCCCCACTCCACAGTGGGCCAGAGGACTGGTGGAGGTGGCCAAAATTCTAGACGCGTTTTGAGCTCCAGAGTCGCCAGACTCCAGACTCGAACCGAACGTGTGACCCCACCAATGGATTGCTCTCTGAACGAGGAATCCATTGGTGGGGTCACACGTTCGGTTCGTGTCCCATTCAGCGTCCAAGCACACTGCTCCAGTCAGTTTGTAAAATGCTGGGCGGCGCTACCCTAAGCGTCAGAGGCCGTCCGGTGACACTGCACGGGGTACTGCCTGCCGCAGGTGAAGAACCTCATCTACAACATGCTGGAGCCGGACACGCAGCGGCGGTACGTCATCGACCAGGTGCTGTCCTCCAACTGGCTGGCCATGGACCCGCGCCTGGCCGTGGCCACGCCGGCCGAGGAGACGGCCCTGGCCGCGGCCAGGGAGGAGCGAGAGCGCAGACTGCGGCGGGTAAGCACAGTGGATTTGCCAGAGGACCGGTGGAGGCTGCCAAAACTCTAGACGCGTTTTGAGCTCCAGAGTCGCGAAACGGGACTCGAACATAGCGTGTGACCCCACCAATGGATTCCTCGTTCGGAGAGCAATCCATTGGTGGGGTCACACGCTAGGTTTGAGTCCCTTTTTTGCGACTCTGGGGCTCAAAACACGTCGGGGATTTTGACCGCGTCCGCCGGCCTTCTGGCCCACTGTGCGCACTACACTGGTCCTTCCCTCCCTCAAAATTATTCCCTCACTTTGGACTCTCCTCCTCTTGTGGCATGTCTCCAACCAGAACGAGGGTGATCCTACTGTGGGCCTTGCTCCAGCCCAACCAGCCCCAGGTGCACCTTCAGAAATGGTAAGTCACATGTCCACAACACCAATTCACAGTAACGGAATGATTGCATTTGCTTTCGACCATTTTATGGGGTTTATGTTAGCTCTTTGGGGATGGGGAAAAAAATGAGACGGATGTTGCAACACTGATTAATTTACATCTATTTAACATTTTCGTGTACAGAAGACATCCACAATTACTCTAGCCATGATTTTCAATTTAAACATGAACACAGAAAACTTGGCAGAGGGGTCAGTTTGGATATACAATTCACGTTACTTGACATTTTTTCTACATTTGCAAGATGACCAAGGTGTTACTTTAGTACAAAATATCTCACTTCATGCTGTACATTTCAAGAGAAGGATCTGAAGAATACAAGTTTTTAACAGTAACGTCAACATGATACAGGTCTAGTGCATATTCATTGCATGGTTTATCTTTAAAATAATGTATCACCTGCTAAAAAGCAAAGAAAATGAATTCTTTGGCACACAATGCTCAATCTTTTTAAAAAGTAAAAGATTGTCAAACGTCAAGGTCCTGCCTCATTTGCTGGCAAAACCATCTTGTATTGTCACCACATACTGACAATGATTTCAACTAAACAGTACTTGGTCCTTAGATTCATTTTCCAGAAAGCAAATGAGAACCTCAAACTTTGACGGCACTTTTCATTTGTTACAAGAGGAGCTCCAGAAAGAGCACCTCAAATCCAAGTCTCTTTGAATACTTAAAGAGAAATTAGACAGGCATGGAAGAGCAATTAATCACAGAAACTTATTTGAATACACATGTTTAAAACTTAGCCATTTAATGCATAGAGCAGCTAAGAGACAAGTCTCTTATCAGCCATCAGTCATATTATAATTAAAACTCAAAATTCAGAAAATTTTAATACTTGCTTCTACACTACAATAGCTTTTAAGGCACCATAAGAGACAGGTAATGAAACACAGTAATCATGATAGGATTCCAGACATATTGCTTATATATAGCTCTACTGGTAGAGCAGCAGTTTATGACCAACTCAGTATAATTTGTCATGTGCAACACAACCAGGAATTCATGTCAGGCGCCTCACAAAACTAACATGCAAAAAAAAAAAAAAAAAAACACTTTCTAAACATGGTTCTAAACCATGTAAGGAATCAGGGTTCAATCCATAGCAAACAAAAAGGATTGTAATGGGTACTACAGTGTATACCTACTATATGATTTATAAAATATTTATACCGAACATTGGTAAAACACAAAGAGTAATACTGACGAATGTACAATAAAAGTGATTAACTTTGTTGGTTACACCAATGATCTTGATAGATACTAAATTTTCTTGCCATCTGAAGACAATGACACCATAGAGAACTAAGGATATGAATATGACACACACTCAAGTAGGGTGCAATTCTATCATCAAATAGGTTCAAGAAGGTGATACAGTAAGACATAATATGATAAAGAATAAAAGTTAATAGAGTACTGCTGCAGGTGTACAGAAATGCTCCAAGTAGCATTTTTATTGTTACGATGGCAGTACAAAAATAGATAAGCTCATGAAATTCTAGAAGTGTAAGAAGAATAAGAAATAAAAAAGAACTTGACTAGACCATAAATATGAAACACCTCCGATTAAATATTCACAACAAGCAAGCATGATTGTCAAAAAAAAATCATAACCATAACATGATAATTGAAACTACTCATACATAAATGCATACTTTGAAAATTATTTTACATGCATGATAGTCAAGAAGAGCAAATAAATTTAATTTCATAATCGCTATTTATCCGATTTTGGAGAATAAATTTACAAAATAGGCTTATGATAAGGGACTTGCACTGAGGGTGAAATCTGTCTCACCCTTACTGAACATTCAAATAAAATGGCAGTTTGGCAGTCAGTAACTCCAACTAAACATATAGTCACATCTGATTTGATTATAAACTCTTGGACATTTTAAGAATTTACTTTTGTACAAATTGAAATTGTACCAATGGCAATCGCAACAGGTGAAGAGTAGTGAGGAGACATCAAAACACCTCAAATGTCTATGTTTTACCTCCCCCAAAAACTTGCGAGGTCCACATAAGTACAGTACAATATAAAAATAAACAAAAACACATTGAAACATAAACATGCTTGAATCAAACTCAAAGACTGCATCAATGGCAGCTAGGCAATAAGAAGCAAGTCTTTTAAGTCACTGTGATATGATATGTGATGACAACATGAGCTATAGTTGTAGTCTTCAAGAGTTGCTCTTCTGATGAGGTCCTGCAGCCATTACCAGCTCAAGATCCATTTTACCAGTTTTCTTTCAGACAGTGCTCGTTCTTCCACTATGGGAATCCTGTTCAAAGAAGGGAAAAATATACTTTTAAATCTTCAAACAATTATTTCTTGGTTTCCTTAAATTTTAAAAGAAAGAAAAGAGAACATCATCATGTGATGATTGCATTGGCTGGGCAGTGCTTATACCTGTGCTGTGAAGTTCTCGTCACTTTCCGGACAAGCAACCAAGAGCTTTGGATGACCCGCTACTTTCGTCTGCAAACCATGCGCAACACCATGCAAAACCATGTACAGATTACAAATTAATTACAGTTACAGTGTGCTATGAAGTATATTTTCAGTTCAAGTGCTCATATGAGATGAAAAAAAAACATGCTTGAACATCTAATTTTTTTAACACAAGACAACAGTGAAAATACAAATGAATAAACAAAAACATGTTGAGCAAACAAGAAAGCAAACACTACATAAGAATTGAAAAATATCCCTCCTCCAAGAAAGATGGGCTGAAGCAAAGCAAAACAGTAAAAGATTGCCTGAGCAAAAAAATCCAACATACAGTAACTTTAAAATTTAAAAGCATTACACTACTAAGTGATTTAATATTGCAACATAAAGCAGAACCCAGAGATAAGAGTACTACATATTAAGCAGAGAGTTACTGCCAAAATCAGGGAAGGGGACAGGGAGGGTATGTGTTGTGGGGTCATTTCCAGCACGCCCAGCCAGCAACCATTCAATTTAAGTTAGATTAACAAAAGACTTTAGTCAGAATACATATGGTAAAATTATTCTAGGCAATTAGCATTCACTCACAGAAAAGAACTTGTAAATATATGACTGTTCATAGATGCAACACTATAATCATAAAATAGAATGTAATTATGTTATTTGTTAGTAATGTTAGTAACTTACGCCATCACCCACGCCTCTGTCACCTGAACTGATGTCCACAACAGTGATGGGGCAACTTTCCAAGGGACACACTAGGTCTCCAAACTCCACTTCAGCCTTAGTCTTCTGCCGTTTCAAAGAGAACTGACTCTTTTTGGGAACCTGTAATAAGGCACTCCATTTTAGTAACTGTGGCCTGCTATTAAAGATTGTTTCTGGAATCTGCTATCTCGCCAACCTTTATCTTAGCTGTCGGAGTCAAAGGGGTGTAACCTAATGTAGCCTCAGCTTGCCTCTTTGATTGAATTGCCTCTTTTCCTAGGAGCTCCTTAAAGTGAGTACTAAGGTGCCGTCTTAAGAGGGTTTTGCTTGGAGGAATGGACAATAGGCTTGCTAGTAGCTCTGCAGTAAATCGGGGCTCATGGACCATCAAACCTCCATGGACACCTGAGAAAAGTTACAACAAATGGTCAGTATGTTGATTGAAGATAAAGTTCAAAGGTGTTGGCATGATCATTAATTGTTTATACCTGAACCACGAAGATTTGGTGCATATTCTGCTAGATCAACAACGCGAAGCCATTCCATTACACGATGGTTTGTCCATAAAACCACCTCCTTATTTGGTCCTCCAGAATAGTCTGTATCATCTCCATTTTTCTTTTCCTCCATATGCTCAATGTCTTCGGATGGGGCGGACCTCCTCACCAGACAATTTGAATCAAACCTGTGATCTCTGAGAACCTGAAATGACACATGGTTTTCACTTGATTATAGTAATGTAATGGTTCCCAAGGAGAAGTCAATCTAGAAAAAGAACAAAAGACATACCTGAATCCCAGTTCGTATACTTGCAACATGCAACAGGGATGTCACATGAAGTGCAGCAAGGTCATCCATGGTGAAACGATGCAGCATTCTTCCATCAATGCGCGCTGCACTGAATTGATCTTTAAGCTGCGGCAGCCCTGGAAAAGGGGGAGGGGGTGGCTTGAACCAAGACGTTACACTCCTTAAACTTATGATTATTATTTATGACAATAACATTTTTAAAAGACTTAACATTGCTCCAGATAAATTTTATGAATTGGGAAATGATTACATTCACCTTGTTTTCATTTTAAATCAATTTTTTTCAAAAACATTTGGGAGTAACAATTGATTCTACTAACGCCACCCTCTCTGCCCTCACAGAGGGCGGATGCCGCCGAAGTTGAGAGCATAAGATTACGCGCGGACTCGCAAGGAACAGGAGCCATTGCCATTGCATGGCCACCCTTAAAGGCAGTCGAGTCCAACCTGCCACGCACACCCGAAGAGATAGACATCAAAGCGTCGTCTTATAGAAAGGAAGTTGAGCCAATTGCCAATGCACGCACACAACCCTCCCATGGGGCCATAAGCATCATGGAGAGTGAGCCTCTGCCTATAACACAGCCACCGGAATTTATTCCCCCTGACCTCACAGAGAAGCTCACTAGCAAAGCTCCGAGTCAAACTTCAAAGAAGACAGTGACTGAAATGGAAAGTGTCACAAATCCAGACAATGAAGCACTTCCAGACCAGCAGGACGATGGTCCTAGATCAAGTACGGCACCCGAATCTGAAGACCCCGAGCTGAGTGACGTTCAAGAGCCTGAGCCGCCGGAGAGTCAAATTCAAGACCCGGAGCTCGAGAGTGAAATTCAAGACCCGGAGCCGCTAGAGCATGAAATCCAAGAGAATCCCACTTTATATGAAGAACAAGCTCAGTCTCCCTGATGCTACACAGTGAAGGGTACCATACCTGTGTCATCCAGCCAACGGAGCACCCAACAAGTGTCAAGGTGCCCTGCGAGTCCTAGCTGAGGATCAGAAGCGAGACCAGTGTCAGTGCGTTCTTGGAGAGCCAGACGCAGTTTCTTCCGGTGCAAAGGATTCTGAGGGAGGAAACAGAGAAACATTGTAAACATTTAAAAGGGCCTGGGCAATAAATTGAAATCATTTACATAAATGCAGAACTGACCTTTAGGCCTAACTCTTTCTCGAGGTCATGTGGGGAGGAGGATAGCAGCTGAGCACCACTGACGATCCACCCCTGACCTTCTTGGGCGCAGTGCTCCAGACCCAGATTGCACAACCACTCACTAATTGCCTCCCTGTCCCACTGAGCGAATGGGACTTGAGACCGTGCACTGTAGAGGACAGAAAAACTTTAAATTATAGCACTTGGCGCTTTTTGGCTTTCTAGTAAGGGATCTTTAAAAAATCTCACTAACCTAAGAGCATTAGAGGATGATGACCACCCCAATCTTCCTCCAGCAGTGGCCCTGACACCTCCTCTCCGGAATTCCCCTTCATTGTGAATATCATCTAAATTTCCTGAACCGCTTCTTTTCATTCTGAAAGAAAGATATCAACAATTGTTACAGTCAACATCAAACTAAGGGCATCTTTCAGGGCTTTTGAAGTTGGATAGAAGTTATTACCTGCCAAGAATTTTTTTTATTCCTTTGTTCTTTGAAGCAGAGAGGGAGGGGCTAGGTTGTGGGGAAAGACTTAATGCCAAGCTTCGATCATTTTCATCTTGGATGGCCCTTTCAGCATCGGCTAAAACAATCAAAACATTATGTTTAAGAACAACTTGCATACTGTAAATTATTATCATTAAGTTATATTTATATTTTCTTAGTTGCTTCAATGAGGTTTCACACTCAAATGCAAATTTTCAAAAGAACCATGTTAAAAATGTGTTATATGGGGGAAAAAAATCAGAAGATGTTGTGCATGACACAGATCCACAAAACATGCATTGAGTGTTTCAAAACTGTTAGGGTATTTCATAATGAGAGCAAACATAATTTCATGCAAAACCCCAGCTATCCATTGCAAGGGATAACTTTCTTCCATAACAGTTTCACCATGCGACAATCCAAAAAAGGGTCCCATTCAAAACGGAATTTTGAAAAAATATTTACTGACTGATTAGAGTTTTTCATGCTCAACGGCATCATGCTTTAGCCTCCTCAAAACGGGTTATTACTGCCTCTTGGTGCACAAGGGGAAAATGAACACATCACTTCACGAGTAGCACAGTCTTGAATAGCACTCGCATTGACAAAAATAGAAACTAGCAATGGATCTGGTCTTTGAAACTCATCATTGAAGTGAGTGGGCATTTTCCACAACGTTCCACCTGGGCAATCGAGCCTTACAAAAACACCACACATCAGGCAAAGACGGGAAGCCACGAATGGCATCAAGTCATCTTTTCACCTAGATTAGGGGTGGAAGAACACCTATCCCCGACCGCCCGCGCCCTCCTAGGCTCCCGATGAGCAAAGTTGAGAAAACCTTTACCAAAGGCCACCCCCTTCTTGGTCAGTCCCCCGTTGCCTTGGCCGTTGCTAGTGTTTAGACTACTGATGCCATTGTTGGTTCCGTTATTTGTCCCATTCGTAGCAGTTGTGGTCTGCGCTGCACACTCCCCGCCCAGAGGAGAGCACGCATCTGCCTGCGAGTCCCGGGGAAGACTATGGTACTGCTGGACGCGCTGGCGGTAGCTAGCAGGAGGAGTCTGGAACAACAATGACAGTGACGAACACCGCTCATGAGTATCGTAAAGAAAGTTGGAAACAAAAGTGAGTATCTGCACAGCGACTGAAAATTTTACAGTTACTAATTTAGCTGGGTGGAAACACTCACCCTGGGAGGTGGAATATCTCGGGTCAATTCTCTGATTTCTCTGCAACTTTCTGCATGCTCCAGGCCAGGTGAGGCAGTGTTACGATGCAAGGGGCTGCCTGGGCAAGGTGATGCGTCTCGCAAAAGCTGCAACAAAGTAACCAAAAATAAAGCAAATGGTACAATCGTTCAGTTTACATTAATGACACGAAGCTGGAACTAAATAAACAAAGCATTACCTGACTTTGGCTCGGGTAAAAGGTGCGAGGGGCTACTGGTGGTCTGTGCTGCTGAAGGGTCCTCAGTTCCGCATTCTCTCTGGACAAGGCAACCAGCTGCCTTTTCAATTCCGTTACAGAGGAGAGCAGCTCAAGCTTTTGCGTCTCTAATGAAGATCTCGAGAGCATTTCCTGCACAAAAGAATATAACCCAATAGTAAGAATAGTACAAGCCACACACCAATCTGCAACAGACATTTTAGCTTATAATTTATGAGCAAATTTTGGCACAAGCTTCATGTGCAAGAAAAGCTGGGTAACATAATGCTCACAAGTGGACATTTGAGGGGGGAGGGTGGAGGGGGGGAGAGAGAGAGAGAAAGAGAGAAAGAAATTGTACACAAGAGAGCGACTAAAAAACTTTCACCATAATTTATGCACAAAGTGCGCGAAGGTAGTTAGTGTGAAGATACAAGGCACAAGCCTTGTCCATATTTGCTGAAAGCCTTGCAGGAGAGCGAACAAAGAGAGAGGGTGGAGGGAGGGGGAGAGAGAGGAAGAGAGAGAGATGGACAGAAGGGAATGGAGAGAGGGGAAGGGAGAGAGGGTGAGTGTACAGGAGGACGAACAACCGGGCCGGGGAGCAAAAATAGCCAACGGAGCGATTCAGAAAATGGGTTTGTCACTCTGTCTCCCTCGCACCCCAATGGGGGTGCGACAAGGACAGAGCGACGAAACGACCCTCGACGCTCGGCAGGTGTAAGCGCACACATGACAAGGTCGGCTGCGTCCCGGGCGAGGCGGAGAGAGGGAGAGAGAAAGAGAGGGAGAGAGGGGAGAGAGAGAGAGAACGTGTGACCCCACCATTGGATTGCTCTCCGAACGAGGAATCCATTGGTGGGGTCACACGCTCGGTTCGAGTCCGGTTCAGCGACTCTGGAGCTCAAAACGCGTCCAGAGTTGTGGCCGCCTCCACCGGTCTTCTGGCAAATCCACTCACCCGCTGCAGCTGGTCCTCGGCCTGCTGCAGGGAGCGCTTGCGGTCGCCGAGGGCGGCCTCCAGCTCGGCCATCTTGTCCACCTGCACGTCGATGCGCTCCGACAGCACGGCCGTCTGCAGCTGCAGCCGCTCGTTCTCGGCCTGCAGGCGCCGGATGCGGTCCTCCGTGCTCGCGTCGCCGCCCTGCCGAACAAAGACACAACGCGACTCGGTTAGGAAAGATAGATTCCGTTTCTGTCATCTGTCACATACACTGAAATCTCATTGATACCGTTTCCTTTGCCACTCCACTGGCTTTCCGCTTTGGACGTCAAAATTCGGTCCCCCCGTCGCGGATCGCTCTGAGAATGCCAAAATTTGTCGTCCCAGGCCGCCACAGTGCCAAATTTCGGCATTCAAACCTAGCGCCACTGGAGTGCAAATCCAGAGAAAAAGTTCGTAATGTTAACGCGAAAGTTTGCATGAAGTTACACTCCAGCCAAAGGCCATCCGCCCTCGCGCACACAACAGTGCAGCTGTCAAATTCCATCGCGGGGCTTCTCTGGTCCACCTGGGCAGTTTCCAATAGGAGAGAACACAGGGGGCGGCGAACAACAACACAACAACTAAAGTTTCCATCCCGCCATGGCGCGCGCGCCAGGGTCCGGAGGGTTAGTGAAATAAAGCCAGGCAGAGCCGGGCACAGCCTGCAGCATGCATTGCCAGTGGTGATAAACAAGCCGTCACACAGTGGGCCAGAAGACCGGCGCAGCGGCCAAAACTCTAGACGCGTTTTGAGCTGCAGAGTCACTAAACAGGACTCGGAGCGAACGTGTGACCCCACCAATGGATTCCTCGTTCGGAGAGCGATCCATTGGTGGGGTCACACGTTCGATTCGAGTGCCATTTAGTGACTCTGGAGCTCAAAACGCGTCTAGAATTTTGGCCGCTTCACCGGTCATCTGGCCCACTGTGCGTCGCACCCAACGCAACAAAACAACAACATCAACTCGATGCCAACAGCTACAACAAGAGGTCCGTGTTGCTCCAGCGCGATAACCACGGCGGGGCGGGGTGAGGCGGGGTGAGGCGGGGCAGGCCGGACCAACTTGGCCCTGCGGATTACCGCCTTTGTTAGTCAAATCAAACGCCAGCAAACAGTAAACAGGATCAGCCTCACTCGTCACTGCAGTGACCGGCCGTGACGAGCCGCGTCACAGCGGCGACAGATTTCAAATTTCCCGCCGGTCCTCCGAGGGAGGCCTCTCGAGGCAGAAAGGACAGACGCAGCAGGGACGCGTGCGAGTCGGCGCGTGCATGGGGCCGGAGCACAAGGACAGCCAACAGATAGTGGGCCAGAAGACCAGCGCCGGCGGCCAAAACTGTAGACGCGTTTTGAGCTCCAGAGTCGCTAAATGGGCCTCGAACCGAACGTGTGACCCCACCAATGGATTCCTCGTTCGGAGAGCAATCCATTGGTGGGGTCACACGTTCGGTTCGAGTCCAGTTTAGCGACTCTGGAGCTCAAAACGCGTCGGCCGGCGGGAAACGCCTGCAGTGTAGGCAGTCCCGTCGAACAGCCGTGTTCGGCGGTACAGCCTACCACGCAGGCGCTCGGCCGGACCGGACTTGGATGCGTCAAGAGTTTTGGCCGCCTTCGCGGTTCTTCTGACCCACTGCGCAACACAGAGCAACCGAACAGAGTCTCCACGGGAGTGCCTGAAAATTCAGCAAGCGTTTTGCACTTAATTTTTGTTGCGTTGGCACGGCTGGCACGGTTGGCACCTTTGCAGCCCTGGCGCTAACCTTGTTGTGCCGGCTGTAACAGGTGCACGCGCAGGGCGGCGGCCTGGGGGGCGGCGCGTGGCAGTAGTGGTGGCCGCAGTGGTGGGGGCGGGTGGCGGCGGCCGGGGGCGGGCAGCACCAGGACGCCGTCGACGGCTCGGTGTCGAGGAGCGCCGACCTGGCCTTGCGGTCGCGGTGGCGGCCGCGGCCTCCGCGCCGTCGGTCCAGGCTGCCGTGGACGGCGGTCACGGGGTAGCCGTCGAGGACGCCGTCGAGGACGCCGTGGTGGTGGCCGTCGTCGCGGAAGTGCTCGCCGCTCGGCGCCGACCGGGTCATGGCGTCCTCGTCGTAGGAGCGCCGCAGCAGGCTCTCATGGCTCGAGTGCACGCGGCGCCGCTCCTCCGGCTGCTGCTTGGGGGTCTTCTTCTTCTTGCTGCACGAGCTGCAGGTGTCCTGGCGCGCCGTGCTGGCCGCGCCGGCTGGCGGTGGCTTCCGCAGCACGACGGCCTGGTCCCGGGTCAGCTTGGGCAGCTCCTCCGCCGCGCGGTAGCGCGCCGCGCCGCCCGGGGGCGCCGCCGGCATGGCGGGCATCCAGTGGTACGGCGCGAGGCCGCTGTCCGCGCGGCGTCCGTCGACACGGCCTTCTCGGCGTCCTTCCAGGCGTCCTTCCCCCTCCAGGCGTCCCGGGGCCGCGCGCTCTGCGATGTGACGCAGGCCACAGTAAAGACCCAGCAGGCAGATGCCGCACTGCAGCCCGTCGCTCGCTGTCTCTCTCGCACCCCAACGGGCCGCCCCACAGTGGGCTGGAGACCGGTGGGGGCGGCCAAAACTCTAGACGCGGTTTGAAGTCCAGAGTCGCTAAATGGGACTAGACGTGTGCGCCGACCCCAATTTGATCGGCGGCGGCGCTTGGCCAATTTAAGGCCGGCGGCGGCGGCGTAATCGGCGTATTCGGCGTGAAAGAAATTTTGATTTTACCAACCATAGGGTCTCAAAATTTTGTCAATCACATGTTAAAAATGATATAAGTGCTCAAGTAGAGCAAGTTATTAACAAATATATACGTTACATACGTAAAAGACCATTTACTTTCTTGGTGTTAGATTTTCGGCATCTTAATGAACTACGTCGCCAAAGCGGAGAGAGGGGTGGGGAAGGTAAGGCAAAGACGGTATGGCATATTTTTGCCAGGAAAACGCGTTTAGCTCAAGGAAACTTAGGTTTTCGAGGTATTTTGCGTTCCGAGACCTTCAGAACCAATAGTTTCATTCGCGCCGATTACGCCGACCGTTTGGACCGGCGGCGGCGGCGCGGCTGCCTTTGACGGCGGCGGCGTCGTGACCGGTCAGCGCACATCTCTAAATGGGACTCGAACCGAGCGTGTGACCCCACCAATGGATTCCTCGTTCCGAGAGCAATCCTCTGGTGGGGTCACACGTTCGGTTCGAGTCCTATTCAGCGACTCTGGAGCTCAAAACCCGCCCGGGATTTTGACCGCCTCCACCGGTCTTCTGACCCACTGTGCGCCCCGCGAGTGCGAGAGAGACGGCGCGACGTAAATGGTGTGCGGAGTCAGTCGGCCGGCGGTGACCGCGCTCACGCTCAAGCCAAACAGCGGCAGGTTCGCCATAGCGGACTCCGAAACTTAACGCGACACGCACACATTCACACACACACACACACACGGACACAATGCCACACACACACTCACGCCAAACACAAACCCGCACGGACCTGGCTCAGAGGACTCGGTCTCTGAGGATCCCTCCTCCTCCGAGGACGACGAGTCACTGGCCGAGACGCCCGATCGGTCCGAGCGGTCCGATTCGCCCTCGGATTCGCCCGAACCCAAACCCGTCATGCTCAGAGCGTCTGCTCCCGGGGACCCTGGGGACACGGCAGACACGGGACAAGGCTCACATCGTGCAATGAGAGGCAAAATTTCCTCGGGAAAGAGAGAAAGGGGGGGGGATGCGGGGCAGATGCTGGGCGGACGGTTGATCGGAGAGGCTGGTCAGGCAAGGGCGTGGACGGCGTGGGGTTCTCCCCGGGGGAAAGGAGACCCGCTTCTTGTAACAGGGTTTGGATAGAAAGGGGGTTGGAAAAAAATGGAAGTGGAAATCGACTCTGCGGGACTCGCATGCATGGCAGCATGACAATTCTTTAAAGACAGAGCTTCGTCCGCCGAGCGAATGGCGAGTGTGTGGCGGTACACAGTGGGCCAGAAGACCGGTGGAGGCGGCCAAAAAGCCTAGACGCGTTTTGAGCTCTAGAGTCGCTAAACAGGACTGGAACCGAACGCGTGACCCCACCAATGGATTCCTCGTTCGGAGAGTAATCCATTGGTGGGGTCACACGTTCGGTTCGAGTCCCACTTAGCGACTCTGGAGCTCAAAACGCGTCCGGGGTCTCGGCCGCCTCCACCGGTCTTCTGGCCCACTGTGCGCGGCCGCCTCACCCACCTGGACTCCCCGCGCCCTCCTGCGAGCCGACCACGTGCTGCAGCAGCGAGCTGCCCGAGCTCCCCGAGCTGCCCCCGGAGTCCGACTCCGAGTCCGACTCGCTCGAGCGGCAGTCCTGGCAGTCCGTCGACGCGGCGTCCTCGTCCTCCTCCCGGTGGCGGCGGCTCGTCGGCGTGCCCGGCGGGGCCGCGGCCCGCCCCCCCTTGTCGGGGGCGGCAGGGGCGGGCGTGGGGGCGGGCGCAGGGGCGGCGCCAGGGGGCCTCGTCGTCATGGCGACGCGCATCGCCTTGCGCTCCAGCATGGCGATCTTGTCGGAGACGAGCGACCCGCTGCGAACCATCTTGCCGGCGTGACGAAAGAAGTGACGAAGGAGTGACGGTCACGTGACGAAAGAGTGATGGTCACGTGACAAAGGAGTGACGGTCACGTGACGAAGGAGTGACGGTCACGTGACGAAGGAGTGACGGTCACGTGACGAAGGAGTGACGGTCACGTGACGAAGTGGCGGCCATAAGGAGACCGCGTTCACATTCCGTGTCACGATGTCTTGACGATGAGCCGTGTGCCGACGATGGTTGTGACGAAGACGGCTCCACCGGCACACCACGTTTTAGGCCAACTTCTCTGTAAGGGAAATGAAAACCTCCGACTTTGGCAAACGAATCTCAGCAGGAGGGGGACCGACGCGAGGACGGACTCGCCGAGTCACTTTTCATACACGGAGCGAGAGGCACCGGGAGGGACGCACACACGTGCTGGGCAAACACTTCCGGTGACGTCACGTCCAAACAGTCCGGCCATCCGTTACGGCCAGCTTCCTTCCCAGTGTACACACACAGACACGGGCAGGCCGGCGATATTGCGATACGCACGCAGCTCCTCAGCGTGACCTAGTTACGCGGTTCAACACGACAGTGGTTCCTCAAACGTGGCGTGGCACAGTGGGCCAGAAGACCC